GTGCAAACGTATCAATTGTTGTCTCTCTCCATACAACTCGTCATCTGCTGCATCGCTAAAAGCAAGATGAATTCAAGCCGGATAAAATAAGGCGCAGAAGGAACCATACCGCGTGGGAGAGACTTCTTCGTCAACCGTAGGTAAAGAGATATCGTGAAAGACAAAGGCTCTGTTTGGCAGAGCTTATTTAGGAGCTTATAGCTTATTTTAAGCTACTAATAAGCTATAAGCTCTGTTTGGTAATGTTCCCAAAATAAGCTACTAGCTTAAAATAAGAGCTTATTTTGGAATAAGCTCCTAGCTTCCTAACAAAATGTTAAATTTTAATATGTAAACAAACTAATTTAAATTTTACGAAGATGTCCTTTTTAGTCTTTTTACATTTATCAGCTTATCAAAAAGTTAATTTTACCAAACACTTTCAATCATAACAGCTAGCTTAACAGCTCTTCAGTTTTCAGCTCCGAGCTTATAGCTTTTCAGCTTTCAGCTCCTAGCTTATAACTTTTCAGCTAGGTTTGCCAAACAGAGCCTAATGCTGATTGAATTCCTATAATTTAATCCGATTAAAAAAATAATAAAAACCCAAAATTACCCTCCAAAATCTAACAATCCTAATCAATCCACATGTTTGTATTTTAATATAATCCTATATATATATATATATATATATATATATATATATATATATATATATATATATATATATATATATATATATATATATATATATATATATATATATATATATATATATATATATATAGAGGGGTGATCACATGTGGCCATGTTGTTAGGTGTGGTCATATGGTCAATTATAGGCCATTAGATTAGATAGATCCAATGAATCATATTAATCCAGATTTTTTCAGTATTTTCGCGCACATTCTCCTACCCAGCAAACTGTAAGGGTAAACTCGTCATAAAACACCGGAATAGAGAAAATCACATTGTTGTGTGTTTTATTACACTATTGGTGCATGTTGTCAACACTGTTGGTGTATTCTGGAACCCGGCCGCTATAAATGGCCACTGTAATTACCATAACACGGGAATACACCATTAGTGTGATTCACTGTGGTGTGTTTTATTACACTATTGGTGTATGTTGTCAACATTGTTGGTGTATTCTGGAACCCGCCCGCTATAAATGGCCACTGTAATTACCATAACACCCCCACTTACCAAAACGCGCGAAAATCCTCAGAATTATCACTGCCGTTAGATTAAAATGATTCAACGACACAGATATGACCACACGACCACATCTAATGACATGACCACATATGAGCGTTTTTCTCTCTCTCTCTCTATATATATATATATATTAATATTGGACACCTAGTTTTATGGTGTGTGCTTAGAATACCATTAGTTTGTGCATTGTACTGTGACGTGTGATTTTGGTGTGTCGATGGTATAGTATTGTTTATGTTTTTGAGTTTGATTAGGGATCTTTGGTGCTTACAGTGAGCATGAGTTTTAATCGGTTTTCAAGATTCATTTTATCTTAAGGATATAATGTTTTGCTTTTTATAACTCGCGGTATGCGAATATTTTTAATCGGGGATGTGTTGACACTGGTTTATGCGTAGTTGAATGTTGTCGTGTGCATTTTACTGTTTTTGTCCTTTAATCGAGTACGGTGCACAAACCTACCAACATACACGCACACACTAGTGTCTATAAAAAATACGTTTCATAGCAGACCAACCAAATAATACCTATACCGTCTAATTCATTCAAAATGAACTAACAATATCATTACACTCACATCCCTTTATAATAATTATTTTGGATACAAAAATGAAAAACAAACAAATTCCAAACCCCTTAATCTACAACATGCACATGCCAATTTAAACGCACGCACACACCAATAGTCTACCCGTTACCCAACTGATTTTGCATTCTTCTTTTTAATAAAAATCAGACACAAAAACCCCCCAATTGCTTTGTGTTCCCGTTACATATTAATTGTTCAAAACACATCAACAAAACACAATAACAAATGCGTTAAATGCTTCGTACGCACACGCGTAGGTCCACAATGCACAAACCGACGTTCAAAATCAATTTACAATCCAAAACAGCATCACCTACCCGTGTTAGTTCTCGCCATCTTAAACCTCTGGACTATTTGTGCGCTTCAACACACTTTGTTCACGGTTTGACTGTTACACCTACTAACAACAATGGATTACTACTACTTTCCATTAATTTTGTGGTCTTTCATTATGTCAAAGATTCCAATCTACTTCTAACCAAAATTAGCACATTCATACAATTACTTTTAAACCCACCTATTTAAAATATGTCCTTATTTACATTATATTCCTCATTCAATCTCATCCATCCATTACAAATTAACAAATGGATGGAATGTCTACGCATATACTATTTGCTGTCTACGCATCATCCCGCCATCCTATCGGTCAAACAAATAACCCTGTACGCACCCACCTGAACACGAACACGCTACGCACGTCAATGGACTACTACTTCGTCCAACAACCACACCCCCCTCCCACCCCCACCGGGGGAAAAAACCCATTCTTCAGCATATGCACAGACTTTGACAAGTGAATGCACTTACCGGTACTGCTACTAGCCATTTGAGAAATGTGCTCCAGTGTTGTTCCTGCCCTCCCACCGCTTCATTTTCTCCTTTAGCATTGTCCACGCCACGTTCACTTCTTCAAGCTTTGTAATAATTGAAACTATTAATTTCCATCCACAAATCCCTAAAATAATGCTTCACATTCCAATAATATTATGTCCATAAATAAATTAGAATTACAATTACTAATATAACCTTTACATTGGTAAATGTCCTTAATTACTACCCTAATTTCTTATAATCTCAACCATTAATGGAAATTGAATCAATGGATATTAGGAGGCCTCATGGTCTCATCTATTAGAGGGGGTGCACCGGATTCGAAGCCTATATATATATATATCAGCTCAAATGTGGTCATGCCTTAAAACGTGCGCTCTGTGCGGACACACAATTAATTATGTAAAATCGCACCAATAGTGTTAGAAAATCGCACAACAAAAAATGGACCAATGCACTACAAAACGCACCACACACCCAATAAAATGCATCATTGCATACCTCCCTATACCTAATTGTGCGTTTCTGAACACTCTGTGGTGCGTTTATGCATACATAATGGTACGTTTTGTGGTGATGCGTAACTATTGGTGCATGTTATGACACACCCCACCCTTAAACTGTTCAGTGACGGTCTTCTCAATCCTCTATTTACACAGGATTACCAGTCCCATCCATTTCTTTCCGGCCTTCTTGTGTATGTTTATATTTGGTGATATAACCTAAGAGAAAGCTAATTAATGATTCACATACATAAACAAAGAGGAGTAGTGGGAGAATATAGATGGAGAGTTACACAAAAAATGACGTAAGAACAAGTCCATCACAAACTGTAACTTAAGATCGAATTTAAGAGCGGCTTTAACAATAGATGGTCAATATAATATATATATATATATGTAATTAAAGTAGTAAAAGTAAAAGATCCCTACACACAAGTCAATCGTTATGTTGTGCATCCGTATGCACCATGCATGGTGCATACGGATGCCAAAACGACGTCGTTTTATTAAAAAACGCGTGTCTTCCCTTTAAAAAAAATTCAGGTTCGATTCCCAGCAACAACATTATATTGTTCATTCATTCTGGAATTTTAGTTCATAGATTATGGAAATATAGTTCATTGATTATGGAATTATAGTTCATCGATTATGGAATTGTAGTTCATCGATTCTGAAATTTTAGTTTATAGATTATGGAATTTTAGTTCATTCATTCTGGAATTTTTAGTTCATAGATTAGATTATGGAATTATAGTTCATCGATTATGAAATTATAGTTCATCGATTATGGAATTTTAGTTCATATGTTGCTGGGAATCGAACCTGATTTTTTTATTTTTAAGTAGAGACGCGCGTTTTATTAAAACGACGTCGTTTTTGCATCCGTATGCACCATGCATGGTGCATACGGATGCACAACATAATTTGCCCACACAAGTGATTATACGTGTGATCAACAACTACCCCAACAATTTCATATTCCTCCAAATGCAACTCATCACACTTATATTGGGCCTCGTCTTACATACATACATACTACATACCCTTTTCACCATTATTTTGAAATTAAAAATACTCTGTAATAATTAATGCATTGAATTCTTTTTTCTTTTTTTTTTTTTGGATATATGACGAGGTGAGGATGAAGGTATACAAATGAAGTGTACAATAGATAATATAATCGAAAAAGGATAAATAGTAATATGGGTGGTTGAGATTTGCAATCGGTTTTAGGATTAAGAAACACACAATGAATGCAAACCGACCAAGTAGTCCGTCAGAGCCGTCAGACTCTGTATATCTATGGAATATAAATTTGGGGATTACCTCTCTGAAAAATTGTGTGATTTTTTAATGAAATCCAAAACACTGAACAAAAAAATTAAAACAAAAATTTAAAAGAAGTAACTCATTGCGCCACGGATCCACCAAGGTTAGAAGCTTTAAAACTATACTAGTATTGCACCCGTGCGATGCACGGCCATGATATTATGATGTAATATATAAAAGCTTGGTATATTGTATATATATATATATATATAGTACGAATAAAGTTGTAGACATAATAAAAAGACAAAATATATTATATTGGCGTTCCATAAACATAAAAAAATTACACATTATTAAAGATTTCTTTGTAAACTACATTTTGAGTTTTGTTTAAAAGACCTCTAGATTCTCCACAAATTAAGACCTTAAGACCGTCAGGATTACTCACCCTAGAAACTGCTACATATAACTGGCCATGGTTAAAAACTGGTTTTTTGAGTAACAAACCAACATGTGAAAGCGTTTGACCTTGACTTTTGTTGATTGTCATTGCATATGACAACATAACTGGAAACTGCTTTCTTTGAAACTTAGATGGAAGTCTTGGGTCTGAAGGAGTCAAAGATAGCCTTGGTATCAACACATTTGTACCTGCGTTGTTGCCACATAGGATTTGTGCCTCAATAACATGATTTCCCAGTTGTGTGACTACCAACCTTGTACCATTGCAAAGTCCCAGTGAGTGATCTATATTTCTCAGCAGCATAATTGGAGTACCAACTTTCAAAGTTAAACAATGGTTGGGGACCCCTGAGCATCTCAAACTATTTAAAAATTCTGTTGTGTGTACCTCAGATTGCATATCAACATTTGTCTCTGACTTGCAAAGAGAATCACAACTCAAATATGTTATTGATGAGGCTTGATTCATACCGTTCATGTATTCATTCACTTCGTCTACAACATCTAACGTTGGAGCCAGAATAGCTCTACTCTCGAGTTGTCTTGCATCCATGTTTCCAGAACGGTAATCAGGAAATGTGCTGTTAACAATTTGTCTAATGGGATCGCCCTCATTTTCCAATACAAAGGATGAAGGAATCAATATATTGCAATCAACACCATTGTCTTCCCCAAGATTTCCATCACCTACATCTGCAATCCACTTGGCAAAACAATCTAACTTCTCAACCTCCTCTTCATCACTAATACTTCGCAATCTTAAATTCTTCGTTAAACGAAGAACTTCACAATTATTCCACAAGTAAGAAGAATTAATACTGGCTTGTACTATATCTTGTCTAGTACCTTTTGGAATAACTGGAAGAATTTGTCTAAAGTCTCCCCCCAAAACAACTGTTTTACCTCCAAAGGTCATCGTTGAGCTCCTAGGATTTGTGAAACGCATTAAATCTCTCATTGTCCTGTCTAATGCTTCAAAACAATGTTTGTGCATCATCGGAACTTCATCCCAAATTATAAGTTTGGCTTTGATGATCAATTCAGCCAGTGGACTTCCCTGCTTAATGTTGCAAGTGGAATCTTCATTAACAGAAATTGGTATAGCAAATCTAGAGTGTGCAGTCCTTCCACCAGGCAGAAGTAATGAAGCTATACCGCTTGACGCAACATTTAATACGACTTCACCTTTGGACCTTAGAGCTGCTGAAAGTGTCTTCCACAAAAAGGTTTTGCCTGTACCACCATAACCATAAACGAAATACATGCCACCCATCTCGGTCTGGACGTCTGCAACCACCTTATTATAGATGAGTAACTGTTCATCAGTTAGTTTCTGAAGCAAAGAATTATGTTCATGCCTTAGAGCTTCCCTATCATATGACATTTCCTCGAACAACAACCTATTTCCCTGAAACAAATCACCGTTTTGATCTGGCATTGGCATCGGTGGATAATCTGCTAGAGATTTGTTCCAAGCATTCAACAACTTCTCCATTTCAATCAATGCATAATTCTTTTTTTGAGAATCATTGAGAATTAGATCTAAAAAAAAAAAACAAAATTGTAAGATATTATATATAAAAAATGGATACGTACATATGTTTATATAATTAATTATTACCTGAAGTTGAGAGGTTTCTTCTACACATAAATTCAGCATCATCTGATAAGTAATGCCAGACCAACTCCCACACATCTTCTGGCTTTGACATTGCATTGGATGTCAATAGTGTAACAAACAATTTTCTTAAGGAATGTGCCGAAGACCAAACTGCTGCCTCACTGATTACATCGACATACTCTTTATCATCTTCAATTAAACCACGTGCATAACATGCATCTCTAAATGAATTATATTGTACGCCATCCACTTTTTTAATATCATCAAATGACGTTGGTCCCCGAACAATGTTAAGTAAACATCTCAAATAAAAGATTTCACCACTATTTGGGGGCACATAAAAGATTCGACCAATTGCCCAATTCCTCTGCCTTGGATGTCATTCTCTTTTATCTTTCTTCCAAACAAATTTAGTGGGCATCTGTGAATAAGTCAACTGCCGCGCCTCTTCATAACTTTTATTCGCCTCTAACCATACAGTGAACATGCTTTGTGCTACTGTTGGTCGATTTACAACATCATCCACCAAATCATCATCGTGAAATATTACTGAATGCTCATTTGGAAGATGGAAACTCAAACGCTCAACAGATGGATTCCTAAATTGTATGTCAAATGCAAATATCCTCCAAGCGGCCTCACACGGCGAAATATATCTACAGTCATAGTACATCTTGATTTCATCTATAACCTTTCCAGTAGATTCTTCAACCGCACTATTGTAAAATTCAGCTGTGACCCTGTCATTACCCTTGTTCACGTACTTGAATAAGTACTTTATTGATCTAGATTGGTTGCACCACTCCACATTAATATGAGCCTTGTACTTCATCAGCAAATGTCTATTGTGTGGAACTACATATCTACTATCAAGGGCAATTCCATTTTTCCTTATTGTACGACCATTATCTCTACGGCGATATATCGGATATCCATCAAAATCCACTGTAGAGCTTTCAACAAATTTTTTCGGGTAGAATTTAGAGCACTTACCATTTACCATGCAAGGTGAATTCTTCCTCGCTGCACCACATGGACCATGAATCATAAATTCTTCCACAGCTTTGTAATATTCTGGATCACACAATTCACTTGGGATCTCAGCAGATATTATCATATCAATGTCTTTTGCAGTAGGATAAGAGTTACTCTTAGCCAAGAATATCAAAATGTGAGCATGTGGCAATCCCCTTTTTTGAAATTCAATTGTGTAAATTACTGCAGATTGAAACATAGTAAACTTATAATTCAAATATGCTTATTATGGTTAACAAACAAAAATTATTAATTAAATAAAACAAAGTACCTGCATCAACAACTCCAAAAATGTTTTCTTTCTGGATCTCTTTTATCAGTGCGTTTAATTTCATTTTAAACACACGGCAAATAATATCCGGTCTATCTTCATATTTGAGTTTCCTTGGTTGTAAAAACCTTTCAATCTCAGGCCACTTGGGATTACATGTGAATGTAATAAATAGACTTGGATAACCAATCCATCTACAAATTGCCATTGCATCTTGATAATTTTGCACCATATATCTTGCTCCTCCGGTAAAACTCGATGGCAAAATGATACGCTTTCCTTGGGCTGTAGGATCTACTTCACCACGTGTTAACGCATCTGTCAAACATTTATATGATTCACATCGCAGTGACTTTTGATGAGTCCTAATATAAACCAAGCGTCCTGATTCTATCATGGTATAAGCATCTACCAAATATTGCTGAAACAACCTTCTAGAATAAAGCAATGTTGACATTTCGTTGAACCTATCTTGCAAACGGAATGAAAAATACTCCCTGGGACTAAGTTTACTTCTTGCATTCGAACTCTGACCTGCAACATTGTTAAACTGTATGTCTTCTCTGTAACCGTCTTCACCATAAGGAAAGAGTAATGGGTATTGCAATGGTAGATAAGATGGATGTAATTCAGTTATTCTTTGAAAATGACCAGCTTTAGATTCCACCAATATATCTCGTTCCCCCATGTTTGGATCTAAATCACCAACAATCAGAGCAGCCACTTCTCCAACCTGTGGCAAGTTATATGTCCTTGCATCTTTGTTTCTCCTTCCAATGAGTTTTATTTTAATATCTCTTCTAGGATTACTTTCCATCTCCATTTTTGCCATGCGAAAACTCTTGACCAAAACATTATTCTCATCTAATGCATCCTTAATGTCTTTAACAATTTCACAATGCAATGTAGTCGTAGAATCATCATCCCTGTTTACAATAAACAAAAGGAATAAATTTAGTTAAATTGATGCTAATACATGCTCATGATCATTTAAAGTAATGTATGTCTGATCGTAACTTACCCAAGTGCACTTAGACGATTGTTGATCTCATTCTCAGTATCATAAATATACAATTGAGCAAACTTTGGACGATCGCCAGCTCCTGGTAGCAAGCTGCCCATCAAGTGAAAATTTTGACCATGTAGTCTAAAGACTGGTGGTGCACTACCATTGTTAATTGCTTTGTCAATTTTTCCACCCATGGAAGTAAAGCAAAACATATTGTTAAAGGACCGAATATTTTTCAAGAAATGTGAACTCTTTTGATCTTGGTTAAAGAACAACTGCCCTATTGCAGTAGGTGGACTATATGTAGGTGCCAACTTGATCTTTCCATGACTGCAACATAGTGAATATTTTGGATTCCGAACACCGGCTGATTTATTAACGCGCTCCTCTAACCAAAACATAGCTCCACAGTGCTGACAGGAATACATTTGATCACCAATATCACCGTAATAATCTATAGACCAAAAGTAAGTGTTAGTATGAAACTCAAATATTTTATCTAATTAATAGTCTATTACCCACCAGTACGAATTGTCAGCTTTGAGGTAGTATCATGGACCACGTTATCAAAATCTGCCATCAATCCACGTTGCATTTCCATATTTTGCGACAACCCGCTTTGATCCACAACGCATGACTGTGGTGTATTAAGTAAAAGATCCAAATAAATTCGAATATTAAATTATCAAAATGTAACAGATTTTATTTCAATTTTAATAAAGAATTAAATTGTTTTATAGAATTTACCATTTGACAAATTTGCTAAAGGCCTTCGAATTTCTTTGTCTTCCATCCGTGTAACTTCCACGACGGTTGATCGCGATGTACTTGATTCAATATAATTTTGGCAAACTATTATGAAAAATAAAAACAACAAAGCTATTAGAATAACTTATAGTAGAGAGATAGAATATAAAATATTTAATATACTATACACAGTTAACCAAGACCATGAATGCATTTTAAAAGTGTATCACTTTGACTTGAAAAGACATGATTGTTGGTAAGTATTACTACCGGATACTCAACCAAAAATAATAAGTTAAAAAAGTACAAAAAAAAATTATATCGTTTTATAATTATAATTGCTCATACCATTGCTAGAGTTGAAATTTTGCGGTGGAAGCCCATTACGATGTCCTTGAATTACACGCTTCTTATTTTGAGTTGCTGAATTATTGCATGTAAGTTGAGATCTAAAGCTTGTAGACTGTACTGAGATTGAATAGTCTACAAAAAGATTGTAATAATTTAAAGAACAAATAAGTTGAATCTTATAATAAAAATACAACTTACCATAAAAAAGATATAAATTTGGTCGATGTTAATAAAATTTGATATATGTGAAAACAATTACACAAACACAAAAATTAGAGAGAAATCATTTTACCAGGCAACACGGGCTGTGTGGGTGTGTTAAATGTTACATTTTCCGCAGAATCATTTTCTGTCATAAAATAATTCAAGAAATTGTAACCAATTAAACAATGAAGTACTGATATAATTATTTATACGCAACTTATTGTAACTAAAATATATGAATGCATGTATTACTTTAAACAAATATAACAAAAATATAAACCATATCTATAATTATACAACAATTTAAATATTAATATAAGAATTTAAATACATGTTCAATTTTACATACTATTAATTTCACTAAGTTATACTTTTAATTTATATTTTTTTAAGATCATTCATTTATTTAAAAAGAGAATCTATACTGACAGTAATAAATAATATTAATAGAGTATATAATAAATCCTACTAACACTAATAATAACAACTAAATTAATAATAATAATAATAATAATAATAATAATAATCTTAAAATAATTAAACTACAATCCATTCAGAAACCCATTTACCTAACCCTCTACCCAGCCCAAAACTACATGCGGCCCACCCATCTAAACCCACCCAAGCCGACAGACACCCCAAACATTCTCTCCCTCATCCACTCTCCTCCTCGCTCTGTGGTCTCCGATCCTCCATCCGTCTTCTTCGCGATTCAAGTTCGATTGCCTAATCGCGACGTATGAACGATTAAGGAAATCGAAGCCATGAGGGACCTTCAGCTCACTAATTCCCCATTTTCAAACTTCTATACACGAAAACCTATCCTCGTGGAAGTTTTATCGGCCAAATCGAAACCCTAAACCGAGATATTTTTCGCCAAATGAGTTCCGATATCCTGAACATTTTGTTCAATACTTCAAGCTTGTACTTCGAAACCCAGAAAACATATGAAAAAAAAAACCCAAAATTGAAACCCTCAAGCGGTAGAAATTCCGGCGAAGGAGTTCTTATGTTTATGGAAATCTAAGCCTAAACTGGGTTTAATTCTGTCAGAAACAACGACGTTCTCACATGGAAAAGAGAAGAAAAAAACAGCATTTCCAAAGATAAGTACATTTTTTCAGTTTTAATTTTGTTCTTACTATATTTTTTGTCTATATGAGTATAAATATTAATTCATTTGCATAAACATTATGATAGTACTTAGGTTTTAATCAAATACTGTTACAACGTTTCTTCACTGCAAGATTTCAAAATCATTTTATTATTTTCAATTATTCGTATGCTTATACTAATTTTTACCATTTTACTAAAAAAACTGTTATCTAATTGTGATTAAACAGGTTGTAGTTATAGATCTAATTATATAAGCAAGATGGAGTAGCATGCAGATTCTAAATCTCCCACCAAAAGCAATGATCTAATACAAATAAGAGTATCACAGTAATACAGGTTTGACATTTTATTTAAAGTACCTTTGTTAGATAGTGTGTTCTTCCTTTTTGCGCCGATGACTATTGATGAAGTTAACTTCCGCATTGATTTAGACTGAGTATGTTTGGACAGTGTTTTTGTGTAAGTGGTGATTTCAGGTGAATGTTAAATTTGTCCAGTGATCTCATCAATTTGAATCTGAGATTGTTTAATTTAAAAGTATAATTCCAAAGCATTGGGATTTGGTTAAAACTAATGATTACTGTAATTGGGAAGTATAACAGCCATAGTCCATCACTTATTCACTTTTACATTTGTAGATGTCTATTTTGTGGAATTCACATTTGATTACAACTGCCATCTAATTGACTACATCACTGTAATCTGTGGGTTACTTTTTTATTTGTTTTAATTTTGCCTTTACCGCAAATTTACTATTTTATTCAGAATTATTTTTTTTTAATTGTAGTTAAATTCTAACAGGATTTTTTGAGAAAATGGCAAATGATGATATTACTTTCTGATGCCACTTATGAAATTACTTAAGATGTTGTAGATTTTTTAGTTGAATATTAATGATTTGGAATGAGAACTGAATCAGAAGACATGAAAGAAAGATTGAAGAAGACCAGGGAAGTCATGATTGTACCTGTTTTTGTAATACTCTCCGATTGTCATTTACTCCAAATTTCCATTTTCAAATGTAATATTATATATTTTCAAACATATGTGAATGAATTTGAAATTACTTCAGATTGAACACTGTTTCTATTATTTTCTTTAATCTTTTCTTTAAAAGCCAAATATCCTAGTTTCTAGTTTTTGTAAGCATCTCAGGAGTGAGTACAGAATGATATATTAACAGCATATGTTTCAAATTATCTAGCTTTAAACTACAGGAAAAGGACCGAAATAAAGAGTGAGTATACTGTATTGATTAAATTTTTTTTTATTGGTGTGTAAAGATGTAAAAGACAGATTTGTAATGGTAAAGTGAATAACATTACAAAAAAATTAAAAGAAATGGTAATTTCTTTTATTGTTTAACTACCACAGCCTTAGCCTTCTTCAACATAGTACTGGGTGATAATTGATCAAAAAGACATCACATTGTAGAACCGGGTTCAATTTGTTGAGGTGTCTCATCAGTTGTAACCTTTAGAGATGGTGCCACACATGGACTGCTGGAATCTTAAACAGATTCAGTATCCTATGCTGAAAAATAAGCCATTACCCAATAAAAGTGTTGAAAATAAAGACTTTGTCCTTTTCAAAAAGAGGTAGCTGCTTCAATTTTTTTCAGTTGGAATTATTGTGGGAGAAGTAAAGAAATCTGTGATTCTAGGAAGAAATTCCAGGAAGCCTAGCCTTAGAAGCAGCTAGCTAGCTAGTAGAGGTATAGCTTTCTTTCTGGGAAATGGGGCATTGGGGCAATATTTATCTGTACTTTCAAAATTATGGTTTTTGTTTCTTTGGAAACTTGTTATATACAGCAGCAATCTTGAATTGACTCCAAATCTAAAGCACTTCATTTAGTTGCCATCTCCAAACACAAAAAATTGCTTCTTCTTGTATGAAAGTATTTTATAGTTTAATATTTAATATGTATTCAAATACATATATGCAATTGTTTTATTTGTGAGTACATTTGATTAGTGTCTAAGTTTCCAAATATGTAAAGATTTAAATGACCCGATCTAGTGGTAAACTGTTTTTGATTTGTAGCAGTATTCACAACCGAATGCCTTTGAATAATTATAAGATATAATATGTTATTTCTACTAACAGTCTGTGATGTACAAAGTGATAGTTAAGGTAATACAATTGTCAACAAAGTACATTACTGTATGGATCTAGCATATTTAATTACTCTAGCTAAATCTCCTGCTAATCTGATGGATAGAGAACTCAAAGATGATTCGTGGACTGCTTGATCTTGTACTTTTGCATGACATGTGCTTGACATCTGTGTTTTCTTACCTGCAAAATGTTAGGCAATACACAAATAACAGTAACAAAAAGCACCTAAACTGTTTTTAAAGCATAAGATTTAAAGCAAATGATTAGGTTCTAAAATGATCCAAAACATATAATATGTACTTCACAGTACATATTATCAAAAAAGGTTTAGAAAATACATCAAATCCAAACAACTAAAGCACTATGCAGTGCAAATTGTCCAGCATTAAACCCTTAAAACAGAGACTTAGCAATTAAGGTCTTTCCCTTTCAATTCTTCTCCAGTTTGACGACAACAGGCTTTGATTTCTTAACATCTTTAGTTGAGGAGAATTGATCGATCAGATTTCTTTTAGTTTCTGCTCCTTCCAGTGCTTGATTATTTTCAGCAGTCCTTTGCTTCTTAGTTTGAGTCACATTTGGGCTACTGGCCTCATCTCCAGATTCAGATTCCTGTTTAAGAAATAAGTATACTTAAGTAATTGTTGTTTTGGTTAAATGTAAGACCATTAGTTTAGTGCTTACTTCAGACTGTCCATCTTGGTCATCTTCATCAAGCATGATGGATAGGTGGTCCTGATCATCACTCAAAGATGGACAGTAATGGTGAACTAATTCTGCATCATAGGTTATCCCGACAACTGGTATAGCCATGGCTCGGTTCTTGAAATGATCGGCTTTAGCAGAAACCTTAAACACCATTGCTTTGTTACGAACCTCTTCCATACCAGTTGGTAGTGGAGAGCCATCCTGAAAAAAATGTTTTTAAATAACCAAGAGTTAAGTAGCAAATATATGTATAGATTATATATATATAAATTTTAATTTGATTGCAAATTTATTTACCATTGAGTATTTGGTCCGGAGATCAAAGGCAGTCGTCCCAACTATTTCACAGCCCTCCTTGTCCCATAAGAGGAATGGAGCATCAGTTGTCTTATCACCTACCCTAACAACCAGCTTGTATCTTAAGGTACCCTCTTGCCACTTTGCACGACATGTTTGACATAGAAGACTTCCATCCTTCATGTGAAGCTTCTTAAAGCAGCCATCAGCTCTACAGGAATGGTAATACCAATTCCTAGTACTCTCAACGGACACAATCCTTGCAGGTACCCAATAGTATCCTTCCTGTTAGATTAAAAATTTGAGTTAATGGTTAAGTTATGATTTAAACTAAAAATTAGATCTTAAATTAGGTAAAATAGTACCTCTGCTCTTTCATAAAGATCCTTGATAGTGGTAACTACCATTGGAGACTTAGAATTTTCTGCACTATTGACATAAGACATCACAGACAAACTCTGTATGCTTCTTGGTGGGCTGTGAGCAACCTTCAAACTGAATAAAAGTAAAGATTTACAATTTAGTAAGAATTTATTTAAGATAGGTGATTAGTGAAAGAAATGAAGTTGCATTACCTATCTTTGAACTCCTTAAATTCCTTGCAATCATGATTGAACCATAGTTGTGTAGCATTGTAGGAACTTGAAATTCTGACTTCATCTACAAAATAGGAAAAGGCTAGCTTAAAAACAGCAAAAAGAATCAAAGTATATATGAAAAATAAAAATATACTGCACTTACTGTCCAATTGTTTTGCTCGACAAAGTTGGAGCAAAATAATCAAAGGACCTTCAACATGGTTCTTGAAATAATCCATGACAGTATCCACATGGTGATCCCACACTGTGCACTTAATACGACATCCCCTAAAATTGAGATAAATTATGCTGTAATCAGATACAATTATTACTGAAAATCAGAAAATCTTACTCGTATGTGTATTATTTGTTTTTTTCTGCATTTAATAGAGTATGTGTTTGAGTTGAATAATGAAAAATCCAGTGAAGCTAAGTTGTATTTTTTCCCTATTTTTTTTTTACTTTGATAATAAAGTGAAGTATGATTAGTATTTGTTTTTGTACAGCAATCACAGTTGGCCCAATAAAATTCAAAGGTTCAATTGATAAAATGGAAAACAGCAGATTGGATTATCAACAACATATTTTCAGACTGAAAAATTACAAAATTAGATAAGTTTTTTATATACTAAAGTCTATTATTTGTTTTTTTTTCAGTATTTATGAATGTTTTAATTAAATCCTATGTGTTTTACTTGATTAATACAGTGAAGCAAAGCTAAAAGAGCACTGTAACTAAGCCAAACATTCAAAGATGGGCTTGTAATGAAGAATAGAAGATTGGAGCATAGAAGTTCAAGCTAAGTTTTATACTCTATGTCTAGTATTTTTATTTTTTCAGTATTTATTAATGGTTTACTTAAATCCTATTTTTTTTACTTGATTACTACAGTGGAGAAAATCTAAAAGAGGACTGGAACTAAGCCTAAAATTCAAAGATGGCTTATCATGAAGAACAGAAGATTGAAACATTAAAGTTAAAGATAAGTTGTATACTCTATGTCTACTTTTTTTTTTCAGTATTTATTAATGTTTTACTTAAAGCCTATTAAATTAAAATAGAGCAGGTTAAATACTACTATATATAACAGAAAAGCAGTACTGTAACTATTGGAATATTATTAGGATTATTAGAATCTCAGTATGTTTAAATAGGCAATTAAGGATTCACTACTTTACTTTTAACTGAATAAGTAGCTAATAAGTAGAAAGGAAACTTACTGGCCATCTTCAATAAGAAAATCGAGAAGTTTGGAAGGAAATCCAGCTATGGTGATTTGTTTTGGACTGTAGAACTCCACAACTATTCCAATGACATCTATAATGAAAATAAGGCCATTAAAAAGAATAAATTAGAAAAATAAAACATAGTAAATATAAGATAGAGAAAATAAATGCTTGTCAGACACACTACCAGACATTAAGTCCGAAAAAGACTTAATCCGAAACATGAGGTTGGGAAAACCCTTTCGCCTATGTCTCTCTACATGAGTTTCATGAGTGAATCTAATCATGTATGTGTGATCAGTGGTTTTGTACTGATAGTAGTGTGAGATTACTGCAAAATCCTTTATAGCATAAACCTTGCCTTCTTTCAACAGTTTAGAAAACTGTTCGACACAATCTTTTGGAATATTCCCATGAACATATGTGCCCTAAAAAGACAGAAAAAAATGTTACTAACAATTTTTTTATTATGATTTTCAGTTGTACTGGAAAAAAATAGCTTACCTCACTGTCATGAAACATTCTTGGCTTTTGATTGCTTCTGAATTTCTCCCTTCTGGTACATTATAGGTACGAACCAGTCTTAATCTTATTGCCTTTTTGTATGTAGATATCCCCAGGTCTTTACCTTGAATGTAGAGTGGAGCCATTTGCAGATTTTCAGAATCAGAAAATTTGAAAGAAAAGTGGATCAAACGTAGCTTCAAAGTGAGAATGGTGGTAGAGAATGAAGATGTCGTACCAAGTTTTTATAGAGCCAAGTTTTGAAGGCTGAAATCTACCCAACTTTACGCACGTTTGCAGATGCATTATGATGGTATCTGGGAAGAAGAAACAACACATATGGAAAGCTGCAGAAAATTTGAATCGATATATATATTTATGGATAGCCGTAGCTTATATATGTAATATATCTCTAATATGTATGTATTCGATGAAGATATTTACGTATAACCATATGCTTTGTTAGTAGCATTTAAGTCATCGACGGCTGAACAGATTCCAAGTTAATTGGGACTCCAAAAGGGGTTCTAAATATAGCTTTAGTTTTCAATTCCAATACAAACACAATTATTTGTTGCAGTTAGTATTTATTATTTATATTTATTATAAAATAGATCAGAAAAATTAGGATACAAATTAGCCATAAACCAAACGGCAGCGTTTTCACTGGGCGGGAATTTGCAAGAATTTGATTGGCCAAGATCTTATGGCTTTATTATATAGTAGGATATAGAATCACAACATTGTGTTGGAATGTTTTACCCCCAACAGGCATCTTAAGCAGTTAGTTATCTAACAATTAAGTAAGCAACAACATTGGAAAAAGAAAAAAACATCTAATTAAACTACATGTTCTATGAGGTTAACATACTTCAACTCTTCACCAAATGCTCCATCATTTCTTTATCAATTTTTGGATTTAATTTTCATTACCTAATTTCAAAACAATTAAGAGTGCACACATCAGAAGCAAAGTGGCAGTGGATACACAAAACAACACAATCTCTACAACTTCCCTACCAAACATGCTACCCCGCCATAATGAGGATCAAAAATTAACAACCAAAAAAACTTTTAAAGAAAGAGTCAATACCAAATTTAGGTAATGATTTTTGACAATTAGACGTTAATACAAAACAACTCTACTTAATCAACAACTAAATGGTATATAGCTCTGTAAGAACAAACTGATACCAATTTCTAAGGAAACAAATGCATCAATCGAACCATATTCAATTTGCGGAAAGGTAAGAGTCTTGGCATCCCAATCGCTGAGAGTCACCTCCAATGGCTTCTCCATCACCCTCCCCAGAACTTCCCACGCCATTCTCTTCAACCCCATCCTCATGAACTGCTCCGAGCCGTAAACCCCCGCGGCCACCCACCGCAAATCCGCAACGTTTTCCACCACCAACCCATGGTCCCGGAGGAGCTTCTCGGCGTCATCTCGGACCCCGACGCCGACGAAGGTGAATTCCGGATTAGCCAGGAAGGCAAGGAGAGAATGGGGAGTGTAATCCTTGTGCAAAAGTTGAAAAATCAGACAGCTTTTCCCCACGCAAAGATGGAGCGTGGCCGCTGGGTTGTCTTCTTCCCCTGCTGCAAGACACGGGTGCCACTCGATGTCGAGGCCGACGAGGCTGTGGAGGATGCGGCGGTTGTTGTGGACGACTTCGCTGACCCATTGATCAACCTCGGCGGCTGTCTTTGTCACCGTCACGCTGAGGTTTATGCCGTGAAACTGGACTTGGTGTTGTAGCCTAGAGCTGAGTCTGGGTGGAACCGTCATATCGCCCCCAAGAAACTCAAAATTCTGGAAAAGCTTTCAACTTTGGGTTAAGATTAAGTGATGGGTATGAAAATATGAAACACAGGAAGGCAGGAATAGAGAAATCTTGGAGTGAGTTACGAGTTTGAAGATGGAAACAGAGAAATCTTTGAATGGAGACTGGAGAGGGAAAGGGGGTATATATTATTTCAGTCAGTAGCCAAATGGTAAACTTGTTGTGATTGATTAGTTTAGTTTTAGGAAAGTAAATATGTAGTGTAGCAATACTTTACCCTTTTTTTTTCAATTTGCATTTCAAAACTGGTTTCCAAAAACGTTCTGCTAGATTATAGGATAGGGTGAGGGAAAAATAAATCCGTTCCGGACAAGGGAATTGAACCAGACGTGAATCGAACACACAACCTTCTGATTTGGAGTCAAACGCACTAGCATTGCGCCACGAATCCGCTGTTAAGAAGTTTTAACTTATAGTTATTTATACCTTAGTTTCTTTCTTTAGAATTCATCCACATTTACTTGCATGATCACAATTGACATATTCGTTTTAACTTTTAATTAATTAATAACAAACAAAATAAAAATGATTAATAATTAGTCATTAAATGTAAAAGTACTATGGTAATCATATAATTGAAAGTAAAATTTAATTTTCAAATTAGACTTTGTCTTAATTTAAGACGAAGTAAGAAACTTCTTCTGAACGAGCAAGTAATTTTATTTTTGAAATATGAGATGAAGCAACAAGCTTCATTTCATATCTTATCTTTGATGTTTCGTCTACGCATGGACAGATTCATTATGGGGGTAGCCACCCCACTCCATGCCATTATATATGTGTGTGTATTAGATGTTTTAATTAAAGTAGATAATATAATATTATACGCATTCAAAAAAAAAGATAATATAATATTATACAAAAAGTTTATCAAAGGTTAAGGTAGCTTAAATGATAAATAGGTATTTTATTGTTTAAAGAGATCAAGTCTGCAAAACTTGTTGTGTGTTAATAATTATTTAAATTGATTAACTAATTGATTGATACCGAATATGTTATGTAATTCAATTATGAAAAATATTTTAAAATAAACTATATCTTTTATCTTTTATGAACCATATAGTCAATGTAATCTAAATGTTTCAATTGTGTGTCACCAAATTCAAATTAATCTATAGCTAGTATAATTAAAATAAAAAGTATTTATGAATGTCATATTAATAGAGATGATATGTATAAAATTTGCAACTCAACGCACGATATTTTTACATCTGCCCCTGCTCTATGATTTCTGTCACTAAGTGAAATGCTTCGTCTCTCAATTTCTCTCGTGGTGTGGATGGAGGTTGAAGGAGGATAGGGTCAAATTTTTACCGCATAGTAACCGTATACACAATATATTTGAATCAAATACCAATCAATAATTGTAAGCATTGTTATAACAATAGGGTACAAAATACGGAGTACCAAATAATGAAATAATACAGCCATAGCTTGCCACTGTACTGAGACTAATTAGAACTTGGAAAGTGTTTCAAAATTTATATATAGAGCCATAGCAGAAGCCATCCTCTCAATGTAGACGGGGAAATCTTCGAGGCAAGGTATATGCACAATGTAAAATACGCAAAGCTTTTAGATAGGAGTATTTGTATATATTGTATGAATATGTCATCCACCACCCTTCATTTTCCAAGTGAACTATCGCCTCAGGCTTTCCACAACATAATCCGCATAGAGATTCCTGGCAAACGCATCAAATTACAATTAAACATTTGTAGAGAGATAATTAAAACCGGAAACACAAGTTCAAGTACAGTCTTCTATTTGATATGTGACGGCAGTTTTACTTTATGCAAGAATGGAAATATGTGAAGGCAAAGGTTTGAAAACTTACATGGAATGCTGGATGGCTTCATAAGCATCAGATGCGGGTAGAAAGTCATTAACTGCAACTTCCTTCTTCTCATTCTTCTTGTCCGAATAATTGTCAAGTATCAAATATTTTCACCTTTGTATTAGAATCAGCTGTTAAAACGAACATCTTTAAAACATAAATTAAAAAATATTCCTGTTCCCATTTATAATCTTTATATTATATATGAAAGGATACAATCCTCAAAGAAGCGGAACGATGTCTGTGTAGTGTCTGTACTCAGGGTCATCACCACACACTGCAATTATCTTCTCATCTTTTTCTCCCTGAATTCCAAACACATACAGTTAAATATTATATTGCTTTAGGTTTATAGAATTAAATTTTAATGTATCGCTATTTACCTGATCAATCATGGGCATAAGGCCAATTGCTCTGCCCCGGAGAAAGCAGCCTGGAAGGATAGGTTGGTTCCTAATCATCACCAACAACACTCAGCATCTTAAAATAACAGTATGCACTTTGTTAAATTAAATCCAATAGCTAAACTGCCCCTTTCATCACAAATAACAATAGCTTAAACCTTTGGAGATGATGTTTCCACTATGGCATTCTTGAGATAGCTTCTTCAACCAAACACAAATACTATTAACTTACACATACTGGGAACACAAACATATGATGATGCACAAATTAGCTAACCAAATTGAAATAAATAACATATTGCAAAAAGATTCAAACCTTTAAAAAATCAAATCAAACTAAAACCTTGTAGAGCTGAACCAGAAAACAATTTGTGTTTCTACATTTCAATTTGTGTTAAACAGAACACAGGAAGCTCTCTAGTTCAAACTTTTTCCTGAGCTCAACCAGCCTGACTGATGGGTCTACATTTCAGTACCCAGTGAAGAAGCATTGTGCATGTTTTCAATAAACAATTTGTGATATTTTTTTACCCCCCTTGCTCATCTCAATTACCTGCATAGATATACAAAAACTTAACCCCAAATCCTTGTCCACACAAAAATAAACCTCAGCACTTGAGCATTCAGAAGGGAGGGTAAGAAAAATATCAACATTTTTCTTTTTCAAATTTCTGATGGATTTTCTTGAGAGTTCAAATAGGATTAGCTCATTTGCTTGTTGCATATAAATGGTTATAAGACGTATATGTTTTTTTACATTAAATTAAAATTTTTTACAGAGTTCAAAGCAGTGGGATATGATTTACCGCATGATCTGAGTCTTAACTAAATTTCTAAAATGAACAAATTGAAAATTCAGAAGGGGAACATTTTGAGCAAGATTTGAGCAAAGTGAATGCTTACCACATTGAAAACCTTTGGAGCTTCAGGCCCGGGATCAGATCACAAGACACGGATCAAGTAACTTAAATGCATTTAATGTAGTTTTCAGACTGACAACATATACCAAAGAATTAGAATTCAAAGTATTACAAGATACAATGGAGTATTAAGCTATTATG